AATTTAAACATTAAATATTATTTGAAATGGTGAAGTCTTCAAAAGCAGTGGAAAGCCTCACAGGCTCAGATCCCCCATGCTGTTCATCCCTGGTTTGCTACTAGGCCAAACGTGCAGCTACGAGTTGTGGCTATTTTCTTTGCTCGTGGCTAAGAAAAACAAAGCTTAACTATGAGCCCATGTTTGGACAACACAATAAAACCAAGGTTGCTCCAGCAGACTGAGGCAATATGTCCGGGGAAGAGCAAAGCAGGTGAGCTCTTCTGCAGGAGCCACCATGTTGGCATAGTCCTGGGAAGTCATAGTTTGGTTTACCGTGTCGTGTGAACCAGGACATTATGTGCCTGAGAGGTGGACGACTTACTTAAGCCAGGTTTGGCCAAAATCTGCATTCATTCATTCATTTATTTAATGTATTTTTATTAAAGATTTTCTTGATTTACAAAAGTATGTGCAGTGTCTCTCTCTCATATTATTTCCATGTAAGATTTTTACAAATCAGTTTCATTTGTTGAGACGTTAGAAAGAAAAGGGGGAAAGGGGTGGAGGGGGGAAGGTGAGTGGGGGTGGGGTCGGGTGGCAATGTTTCTATTTTACTTAATATATGTAGGGTTTGGTGTCAGCGTTGCTTGTGCAGGTTTTTTGCTGTTCACTTGTGTTCCTTTGGTGGTGAGAGAGGTTGGGGTTGGCCTAGGGTGTGGTTGTTCATTTGTGGTTGGCTGTGGTGGTCTTTGTTTTCATGTGTGAGTGGGATGGGTGGGTGTTTGGTTCAGGTTAGCCATATTGATTTATATGCTGTTGGTGGATTTTGTCATTGTCTTGTTGGGCTGTGTATGTGATAAAGAGGAGCCATACCGGGGTGAAGGTGTCCTCTTCTATTTGTCCCTGTGTCAGTTTCAGTTTATTGGTTAATTTTTCTAGTAAGGCTGTTTCCCATACTATTTGGTACCATTGGTCCATGCTTACTCCTGACAGGTCTCTCCAGTGTCTAGTTATGATGTTTCTGGCTGCTGAAAAAAATCTGCTTTTATGAATATTTGGCCTAGATGATGATGATGATGACTTTGAGGCTCATTCAGAAGTCTTTTGTTGGATTTTTTTTTATTAGGTACAGATAATTCATTCCTGCCTTCTCCTCTTTCTGATATTAATGAACGTTTAAACAATAAAGCTAGTATAATACAACACTGAACTTTGCTGAGTGCTGGCAGTAGCCAGCAAGTTCCAAGACAACAGCTACATTAACTCGATCATATTAGAAATATGTAGCATTTTATATTCTTAGCTTCTGCATTTAATGCAAAGTTCAGTACATTACTGTTTATGTTCAGTGTAAAATGTATACCATAAAATGAATGTATACCATAAAATATACAGGATGTGTGTAATGGGGAGGAAGTTAATATTGGTTGTTAACTGTGCTAACCATGCACAGCTTGGCATTTTTTTGGTGAGTTTTAACTGCTCTCCTTTAAAAGGAGGCTATCATCTGAGAATAAAACTATCGCTGAAAATGTGTCTCTGAGATAAAAGAATGTAAGTAATTTCCCCTTTCTCTTTTCTTGATCCCCAGGCTGTTCGTACCATGTGGCATAACCTTTTGTGCCAGCATCTTTACTATGTATTATTGTTAATTATATATTTGTTATTTGCTTCTTTTCCCTCTAAAAAAAAAAACCTTGAAGTGACTTACAAAAATTAACATTAAAAACAAGGATAAAACAACCTAAACCAGAATCATGTGACTCCCTGGGGAAAGTATTCCATAACTGGGGAGCCATCTCTAAGAAGGCCCATTCTCTCCACAGAGAAGGGCCTTGTAGAAGAATGCAGGATCCAAGCTGGTTCGTGTTGGGAGAGGTGGTCCTTGAGGTCTTGTTGTCCTGAGCCTCATAAGCCTTTATAGGTCAAAACCAGTGCTTTGAATTGGGCCCAGAAACTAATTGGTAACCAGTGCAGTTAGGCTGGAATTGGTGTTATGTGCTCGGACCGTCTTTCCCAGGTGACTGACCAGAGCATAAACAGAAGAAGTCAGACTATCTGTGCCCAGATAAGGGTGTAGCTGGGCCACCTGCCAAAGCAGATGGAAGGCAACAGGTCTGACCGCTCAGGGAGACTTCCTGTTCTGCTGCTCCCAGCCTTGAAACTGTAGCATCCCTGAGGGGCTGAGGCGGCGGGGGGGAGGGAGGGTCATGACAGAACCTCCCATCTCATAGCAATAATGCCTCTCCTCCTCTGCTTCCCCACAGTTCAATCCCTCTGTCCATGATGCAGCCATTTCCTCAGAAACCAGGTAGATGGGTCATCTGTCCCACACAGTCTTTCCTGCTTGCAGGTTCTGCAAATGTAGCTGTGCCTGTGGAAAAGGTATTCTTGAAACTGCACTGCAGCAGCAGCAGCAGCAGCGGTGGGACTAGGGGCACCAGCTAGTCCTGCAGCTGAGAATAAAACACACACACTTCCACTTGGCCCTCTCTAAGTGCCCGTTTGCTGAATTTTTCAGCCTGCAGCCACCAATGTCAATGTGTTTTGATTGATGACTCATTTGTCACATTGATCTATATCCCCTTCTGGTGGCAGTAGAGTTTTTCGGTGTTCTGTTTTGTTTTTTTAACCATCCCCGAAAAGAATGCATTTGAAATGTAATCAATGCCTCATCCTAATGGTCGGGGATGACTCCGGGGAAAGGAGTTTTACACTCCTCCCTTTCTATGTTTCTTGGTAATTGGGCACCAGGCAGAGAGGAGCTGCCCTCCTGACTGGAGGCCAGATGAGCAGATAAATGATCAAAGGAGCGAAACAGCTGGCAGCCTTCCAACACACAGCAGGCGTGTGTGTGCACGGGAGGGGGGAGATCAAGCGCAACGTCATCGTCATCACCATACCCTTTTGTGGACTGTTTAATCCGGAGGAATAAATTTGCACACTCTCAGTTTGCATGTGTAAAAGGACCCCAGCTCTGTTTTCACCCTAATAGGGCTCTGCTACACGTCAGCACAGCCATTCAGACAGTGAGCGAGCAAGCAGATGGGAGACTGTTGGGGAGCTGACTACCCACCTGTGAAGAAGTAGCCTACCAAACGGGGCTTGTCCCTTTAAGAAAGCCTCTTCCCTACCTCCACAGCTGGAGGCAGTATGCTTTTGAATGCTAGTTGCCTGAAAACACAGCAGGAGAGAGTGCTGTTGCTCTCAGGTCTGGCTTGTGGGCTTCCCATAGGCTTCTAGCTGGGAAAACAGGATTCTGGACTAGCTGGGCCATTGGCCAGATCCGGCAGGGCTCTTCTTATGAACCCAGAGAACTTTTTCCTTCATGAACTCAAGGTGAGCAAAACAAATTTTCTGCTGGGTACCCTAAATGAGTTTGCCGGTGCTCCGTCTGGCAGAGGGGAACGGACGCTTCATTCTCACCTCCCACTTTCCCTGGCCATCAGTAAGCATTAATAATAATAATAATAATAATAATAATAATAATAATAATTTATTATTTGTACCCAGCCACTCTGGGCAGGTTCCAACAAAGATTAAAAATACATCAAAATGTCGCACATTAAAAACTTCCCTGAACAGGGCTTTCTCCAAGATGTCCTGGACTGATACCACACATGTTCTCATTTCCTGACTGGTGGACCTTCCTAGATCTGCCAATACTCCCCCTTCCTGGTACACAAGGTAAAGATGGGGGGATTATTAGGGGAGGGGAACTATTTTTCCCTCGTGGAAAGCTGGGGAGAGGCAACCTTACATTTGATATTCTGTATACCCAGCTTGAAATTCTAAGAACCGGCTTATTTAGCATTATTTGCCTAGCCCATGTGCCCAGTTGTGGCACATCCTACATGTTTAGGAGAAGTAACAGGATTGAGTCCTGGCTGGTGGCCTTCAATGGCCCCCTCCTCCATGAATTTGTCTAGTTCTCTTTTAAAGCCATCCTGGTTGGTAGCCTTTACTGCATCCTGTGGGAGTGAGTTCCATAGTTTAGCTATGCTTCATTGGATATTTGTGAGTTCTAGTGCTATGAGAGAGGGACAATTTATCCTGAATCATTCACAAATAGGATTTAAATTATTCCGAAGGAAACACCTCTATCATGATCAGATTTTACCCTGCTTCCTTTTTTTCATTTTACTTGGAAGCTGGGCAGCTGAAGGTGATTTTGAGGTAGGTTTTTTTTACATAGAAACGTCACCATGAAGGCTGAAATCCTATACACACTTAGCTGAGACACGCTTATCACTGAACTCAATAGGCATTACTTTTGCACAGGCCTGTGTAAGATTGCACTGGCATTTCTCTTTAATTCTTCCATCCTTATTCATTCTGAGGCCTCACATGGTGAGGCTGCTATGTGCAAATGCCTATGTGAAATTCATTCACTGAAAGCTAATGACAGGGTTTTTGTGGTTGCATTGCTATTTAACAACCCAGAGGTGCATTCATCGGGACAATTTATACCTTAATTTTGCATGTGGTTTCTTACCCATCTCATTTTCATGTGGGGAGGTGTTGGGCCAAAATAGCACCTAAATTAAAACCTCCTAGCTTCCCACATCTGAGAAAATGCTGGCTTGAAGGTGCCGTGAGGAATGCAAATTGTCACATGATGGCTGTTTCTGATAAATACCTCCCCCTGTGAAAACGAGGTGGTGATATTGCAGTATGAGGGCTTTGTCGCTTTCAGAAATGTAAAGGAGTATTGCGGGGGGGGGGGCACTCAAAATGAGCAGGCAGCAAGGGTGAGAAAGGCACCTCGTGATGATGGGAGTTCAGAACAAGTTTCTGAGGGCCAAACCTCAAGTGATCTGGGTGACCTCTGGGGTCTGCATTTTAAAACAATGGAAGGGGTGGTGGAAAGGGTTCAGCTGCTCTGATTGGATCACCCTCTAACCCTTTGAAACTGATTTAAGATAAGCAAAAGATATTGGGAAATTGGATCGTGGAGGTCTGGAGCCCTAGTAGAAGAGGCCTCTTCCACTATGGGCACCCCTTATGAGTCGGGACAGGGCAGCTGAACTCTTTCTTCTTTTTAAAGTCTGAGGCTTTTTTAATGTGTTGAGTAGAAGTCTGAAGTAGGTTTAAAATGAAAGGGAGACAGTCACCCAGTGGTAAGTTTCCATTTCCTAGTTTGGGGAAAGGGAAGAAGAAATTGCCCAGACGATAGGAAGGAGGAGATTGGAACAGGATGACTTTAGTAAAGGAACACAGAGAGAAATAGCAGGGAGGAGCATTCTGATTCCGGAATTTAATGAACAAGGAAAAGCAAAGGCTGAAGAAAGAGAGAGAGAAAACTACACAGAGCCACATTAAAGACCCGTCACCCCCTAATCCCGCCTCCTCCTTTGAAGGACCATGATTGGCCTCTTTGATCCCAGCACTTGGTAACCAGACGATGAGCTCTGCCAATTATTTAACCCCCCTCCCATCTGCTTTTGCCTCTCTCCCAATATAATTGATTTATTTCCTTTGCAGCTGATCAAGAAACCATGGGAGCTTTGAAAGCAAGGGAACAACATCAAATATGTGCATGTGTGTGTGTGTGTGTTTAACTATTTAATAAAAACACCCTTGAAAAAATGGAGACATTAGTGATGAAATAGGCAAATCTGCCTTTCATTCCCCACCCCTCCCCATGGAAAGTTAAGGCCTGCTCTCAAGCAGAGGAAAGAGTGGTGTCCTGCTTGGACAGCATCAGAGCAACGTTAAACTGCAGTACTTGAATTAGATGGGCAGAAGGCATTCTGGTGGGGCTGGCCCTCCCATTAAGCAGAGTTAGGCTGCTCTCTCAGGTGGCGGACAATGGGAAGCACCAGAATCAGAAGCACACTCCTCTTGAACCAGCACTCCAGTTCAAGTGACAGGACTAAACATTAGCACCTCTTCCAGGCTGCCTGTGTTTTGCAGGTGGGATTCTAGGGCATTTGGGCAATTAAAAGTCGATTTGGCACTCTTGCAAAGCAGACCTGCTTCCTGCCCTCTGTCCCCATCAGGCTCCTTGTGGAAATGAAAGTGGTGGGGAAATGCCCTGGGGAATAAGGTTTGCATGATACAAATCTATTCTCCCCGCAGTCAAAGAGCCCTCCTCTGTGGGAACAGAAACTGAATAACAGTGTGGTTCATCACACTATTCATCAACCCCAAGTAACCATTCTAGCCCAGAAGCAATAAAATAAAACAGAACCAGCAAACAAGAAGCTTTCAGTTAAAGGAACTGTTGCCCTTAAAACTTCCAATAGCACTTTTCTTATCCTCACTGGAAAAACTGGTGCGGAAATTGTGCATTATTGTCAGAAATTAAAAAAAATAGATTCCATGCAAAAAGTGAGCAAACAAATTATGCATGGAAACAAACTTTAGATATTTGGGTGTTAGAAGCCAGTGGACATGGTGGCTGAAATAAGTGGCACATTAAACTAAGGAATGGAAAAGTAGTAAAGCAGGGGAAAGTATGAAGAAGTTTTGTGAGCATATGCATAGCCTAAAAAGAAGGCAATGTTAAGGACAATTTGAATTTGTTTTTCCCCTTCCCATCCTGTCCCAATTATTTTTCTTCCCTTGTACTTTCTCCTTTATTATTTCCTTCTGTACTGCATTTTTGCTCATTTGATTTTCTCTTTTATTGTGGCTGTGGAAGTATGAGTAGATGTGAGTGTGTGGCTGAACATATAAAAGATTCATAACAAGTTCCAAAGTCCTTAATAGTGTGGAACTTTTATGGAAGATTGTTCTCATAATTTCAAAGTTGAAAGGATGGTTGCAGGGCGGGGGGAGGGAGGTTGGTGAGTGAAATGGAGATCAAGAAACATGCATATGATAAACAGTTCAAAACAACTTCTTATTGACTGACATGTTTGTGTAAAATAAATAATATATAAATTTAAAAATCAACACAAGCATATTAGCATAATCCATTTGCTTAATTTATTCCTTAATTCATTCCAGTGACAAGATTTTGGCACCTACAGTGTTTAGAATTCATTTATCATTACACTAGGTCAGTGGTTTTCAACCACTGTGCTGTGGCACCCTGGGGTGCCTTGAATGATGGTCAGGGGTACCACGGGCAACACTGGCCTCTGTCCCTCTCTCCTTCCCTCCCTCTTCTGATGCCCTCTCACTTCTCTGCCTCCCAAAGGCTTGCATAGCTGTTTGTTGCAGGAGCCCTGGCTACAAGCTCCCCAGGTGAATGGTGCCTCTGGGAGTACTTCCCAGACCCCCGTGGGGCAGTGTGAGGAGGCACCTCTCTTTGGGGCAGGAGAAGCAGCTCAGAGACCGGGGCGGCAGCTGCGGCTGCCCAGGACTCCCAAGGAGAGGGGAGAGGAGAGGAGGCTGAGGGCACACTCTACAAGGGAGGGTGTTTGAAAAAGCGTGAGAGGCTGCCAACTCTGTAGGCAAGAGGTGACGTAACTGGGCTCCTGAGCCCCACAGGGGTGCCGCAGAAAGAATGTAGTTTGTCAAGGGAGCTGTGGACCCCAAAAGGGTGAAAGCTTCTGCACTAGGTGCCTTGGTCGCTTCTCTTGTGCATATGTAAGGCAAGACCCGTCCCCCTCACCTTGCACTCTGTATTGCAGGGACAGTCAACACGATGACCTTCAGATGTTGTTGTATTACAGCTCCTGTCATCCTTGATCATTGGACCAAGCTGGCAGGAGCTGAAGGGAGTTGTCCAATAATTGGAGAGGACATTTGGCTCCTCCTCCTATAGACTAACAGCTGTCACATGGCTGCTATCAGATAACGAGTTTCTCAATACAAAGGCAGATTTAGGGGTGTGCGACTAGTTTGCCTACACTAGTTGCTGAGCCAAGAAGGCGCCGCAGTGGGTGCCACAACAATGACGAGCCATAGAAGGAGAGAGGTGGTTGTGGGGGTGAATTTCGATGTTGACCTTGAGGAGAGGGAAAGAGAATGTGTGCTTGCAGGCTTTTTGCTAAGGCAATCACCAGAGATAATTTGTTTCTACTCAGGGATTACCTGTAAATAGCAGGTCTTAGTCTAAAAGTACATCCTTTCTCATCAGGCCTTTCTGTTGTCTAGCACCTGAGTTGGGTAGAAATTGAAGTAACACACCTGGCCACTCTCTAATGCCCCCACTATATCTGGGCCAAAGCAGGCCTCTCTCCTGTTACATAGTGTTGATTGGTTACATGTTACTGTAAAAGACGGAAGCATCTTTATGGCCCAACTCTTCTGCACTCCCAAGACTTTCCTCAGTTGCTAGTATGTTCATAGAAAGTCATTTCTGTTTTGTGGAAGAGGTCATGAGCTATGGCTTTGCATAATGCTTTTTTTCTTAAAAAAATGTTTAGGGGTACTCTCATTTTGACTCAAGAAAATCACCATTTTATAGTTCAAATCGGGGGAAATAAATACAGGAAATGGACAAAAGTACAAAGGTTCACAAAATGTTTAGGGGTATGCTTTGCTTTGCTTTACTTTACACATGCTATATGGGGTTGGTCAAATTATTTCATGTCCCCGTCACTTCCCTAGTTAAGTGGTCAATTGCATTCCTTACTGCCACCAAGCAGACAGGAGTCTCATGAGGCCTGGGCAGCGTTAGCCTCATTTTACAAATTCATAGGAACCTGAGAATAGCCCCAGTGGGGCACGTACTTGACACTGTACTCAAAAAAAGGTGTAGCTAAGTGGCCAGAGTAAAGGGGCCAATATTTACTTATTTGCCTCAATTCCATAATCTGTAAAATGGGAATAAGGATTGCTATGGCAAAAGAATACAAAAGCAGCACAGTGGCCTTTGCACATTGGATGTAGGGTAGATGTCTATGTCACCATCTCCAAAGTTTATGCAATATGGGAGTCAAAGATGCAACATCCACATCTCTCAATTGGCGCCACTTCTCCCGTCCCAATAGCCCATATTGCTTTTTCATGTTTAAGAGCTGCCATCCTTACTTTGCTTGTTTTGACCAACCCATCCTCTCAACATCCAGATTGGGTTATGCCATTGGCATGGCAGGTGGTGCAGCAGCTCTGTAGCAGTAGGAGAGCATCAGAAGGCAGGACATTGCTCAATGATGCAAGGAGGATAAGTGAGGGGGAGATATGAAGGCTTGCTGCAGTGTCAGGAAGCAAATGGAGGCCAGTGCACAGGACTAAATTTGCCAGGCGAGATTATGGGTCAAGCATGTCCAGGCTGAGTTGTGATAGTGACATTATCATGGCAGCACCAAGCACAGGTGCAACATTTAAGATCCGTTTTCTGGATTGCTTCTTAATGGACTTGAATTAAATGGGACACAGCAGTTAAGAAGGCTCATCTAGCTCAGCGTTCAAAGGAGCTCTCAGACATCAGAACATGCTCACAGCCAGTGCTGGGCAAACCAGCAGACTCCCAGAGAGCCAGTGTGGTGTAGTGGTTAAGAGTGGTAGTCTCGTAATCTGGGGAACCGGGTTCGCGTCTCCGCTCCTCCACATGCAGCTGCAGGGTGACCTTGGGCCAGTCACACTTCTCTGAAGTCTCTCAGCCCCACTCACCTCACAGAGTGTTTGTTGTGGGGGAGGAAGGGAAAGGAGATTGTTAGCCGCTTTGAGACTCCTGAAGGGGAGTGAAAGGCGGGATATCAAATCCAAACTCTTCTTCTTCTTCTTCTTCCTATGTTGCTGAAAAGCAGTTTTACTCCAGTTCCCCTTAGCATTTTTTTTAGAACAAGGATGAAGTAGCTGCAGAACCTGTTATGCAGACTCTTAACTCCAGCCAGCCTGTATTTTGCCAGCTCTAGGGATGCTGTGACCAAGCACTAGGTCTTGAGCTGCCACAGTACAGTGAACAGGGCTGTGGCTGAAAGTCCTGGAGCAGGGCAGCCCAAAGCTTTCGAATCTGCACCCAAAAGAGCTAGGCTGGTTACTAGGAAATAAAGATTTTGGCTGGTGTGCTTTTCTATGCTCCTTTGGTCTTTCACACAGTACTGAGCTAGATGAACTATTGTTGTTGTTTAGTCGTTCAGTCATGTCCGACTGAACTATAGGATAGTTTTAACCAGAGTTTTGTAGGAACACATTTTTTTCTGCACCTTACACCTGCAGGCACCTCAATACAAGGCTGTCACTTCTAAAAGAGGGCAGCGTAAGGTGGGAGATGGTAGATGGTTTAGTTTACGTGTTGGGAAACTCAGGAAAGCAATAACCCCAGCTCCTGCTGGGCCACTGGGTGGTTAAGACATTCTACATACATGGGAGCCAAGCACAGCTGAAAAGGTGGCCCATGATGCTGAATATAGTACGTGGTGACGGTGCAGAAATCTAGTGCTGAAGCTCGCATAAAGTGATAGAACGGGGCAGGGGGTAAGATGGGTTGTGGCCAAGTCCAAACAGGGCTGTAGAAGCATGCACAGCAACGCACAGCTGCCCCTTGCCTCCTGTATTTCCATCTTCCCTCCTCCCTCTGCACCAAACCTGGAACTCACAAAGTCAGACAAGACAAGTTATATAGCAAAAATGTTTAATCTCTCCTTGATGCGCGTGTTTATTTACAAGTACTAAATCTGAAGAACATTAAAATAGGAAATAGCAAGATATTTACACAATCAAAGGGTGCCGACCTGCCACACTGGCACAGTTGCTTCAAGTCTGAAACAATCACATAAAGTTTTCATCATTTTTATTTTTTTATTTTACTATTAAAATTCTTTGTTTCTTATTGTTTTCTCTGCTCCACCCCTCCCATGCCAACCCCCTTCCCCTTTACTTAAAGGACAGCTAACTGTGGACTTGACATTGCTTTGAAAGAAGAGAGAGCGGCAGGCCTTACAAGGCTTTTACGTGTTTTAAACACATTTTCGGGGGGGGGGGTTAATAGTGCTCCATTTTAAAAAGCTGCAATGGGGGCGGGGCGGGGGAAGGTCTTGCTCACCATCCTGACGAATGCACCAGCCCTTTCTTTAGACGATCCCTAAACTGTTAAGAGTCCAAGGAACTGGGGATGTCACTAACATAGAGTTTAAGAAATAAAGAAAACACCAGACACTTCCTTATTAGCTGGCTCAAACCATTTTTCTCCGAAGAGCTGTGTATTTTTGGAACCAGATTATTTGACATTTCCATTGAGATACCCTCTAAAACTGAGCCTTCAATAGCTGATGTGTTCCTTCAGTCCCTATTCCTAGCGTATCCTGTCCTTAGATAGCACCAGTGTTTGAGGGCACAGGGTGGCGGTGGTAGGGGGCTGAGGAAGCAGGGGTTGTATGATTAAGCATTTTTAACAATGGATAGAGGAAAGTGAAAGTAGCACCTGAAAAAGAGAAGGTACGTTTCACATGCACCTTTTCTCAGGGAATACTTAAAAAGTATTCTTGTGGGGAAGCTGGTAACATGTGGGTTGGAGGAGGTAGCTGTTAGGTGGATTTGTAGCTGGTTGACTGACTCAACTCAGAGTGCTTACTAATAGTTCCTAATCAACCTGGAAAAGACTGACGTGAGGTGCCACAGAGTTCTTTATAAATTACTTAGATGAAAGAATTTAGGGCAGGGGTCAGCAAGCTTTTCCAGCAGGGAGCTGGTCCACTGTCCCTCAGACCTTGTGGGGGGCCAGACTAAATTTTTTTTGGGGGGGGGGAATGATACAAGAGCATCATGAGCCCCTGTGGTTGCTTACCTATGTCTTGTGAATAGCAGGGGCTGGCGGCGGTGGAGGGACGATGAGCAGTGCGCAAAAGAGCTCTGGAGAGGGGCTGCTTAAAACGGCGGCCACTTGAGCACCGCTGCTGCTGGCACCAACAAAGCTCAGCTTCCTCTATGCAGGGCGGGAGAAGCCAGGAGGAGGGAGGGAGGAGGTGCCGCCGCCGCTGCCATGTGAGGGAAAGGGATGGAAATAACATGTGCGCTGGCAATATATGCGGCGATTCCCGGACCGTCCGCAGGCCGGACCCAGAAGGCAATTGGGCCTGATCCAGCCCGTGGACCTAAGTTTGCCTACCCATGATTTAGGGGATACTCATCAAATTTGCACATGACACAAAACTGGGACAAGTAGCTAATGCCGCAGAAGACAGAATCCGGATTCAAAATGACTTTAACAGATTAGAAAACCAGGCCCAAACTAACAACATATAAGGTTCTACACTTAGGTAGGAAGAACCAGCTGCACAAACATAAGATGAGGAACACCTGGCTTGCCAGTAGTACATGTGAAAAGGATCTAGGGGTCTTAGTAGAGGACAAGTTTAACATGCTTCCAACTCTACAATTCCATGATTCTGTGATTCTATGAGTAAACAATGTGATGCAGCAGCAAAAAAAGCTAATGCTAGTCTAGGCTGCATCAACAAAAGTGTTGTGTTCAGATCAAGGGAGGTAATAGTACCGCTTTGTTCTGCCTTGGTCAGACCACACCTGGAGTACTGTGTCGAGTTCTGGGCACCACAGTTTAAGGAATCTGACAAGCTGGAATGTGTGCAGAGGAGGGTGACCAAGATGATCAAGGGTCTGGAAGCTAAGTCTTAGATGAATAGTTGAGGGAGCTATGCATGTTTAGCCTAGAGAAGAGGAGATTGAGAGGAAATATGATAGCCATCCTCAAATATCTAAATGGCTGTCACATGGAAGATGGAGTAAGCTTGTTTCCTCCTGTTCTGGAGAGTAGGACAAGAAAGGAGATTCCAACAAAACATAACAGAAAAACTTTCTGACGGTAAGAGCTGTTTGACAGTGGATCTGACTCCCTTGGAAGGTGGTGGACTCTCCTTCATTGGAGGTTTTTAAGCAGAGGTTCAGTGGCCATCTGTCATGGATGCTTTAGTTGAGATTCCTGCATTGTGGAGGTTGAACTAGAACTAGATGATCCAACTCCACGTTTCTATGAGTCATGGAGGCCTTATTTAGAAGTAACCAATACATTGAATAGTGGCATTGTGGGGAAGGGATCTCACATAATGTTCGTGGGAATGGATTGGTGATGCTTGGATGAAAACCAGAGAAAATTATGAAGCTATAAAGGTGGCAAACCTTTTTTTTTTTAAAGAAAAAAATAAGTCACCTGCTCCTGACTGCAATTGCTCTTAGAAATCCTTTGCCACACGAATGTCACTACGGCAAAGCAGAAAATGTCAACCTATTCAGCTGGCCCTATGCCAATACAGCTATAACAAAAATATATCCGGTTGAGAGATTGTTCCAAATCAGCCAGGCCTCTTCCCTGTAACCGCCTTACCGCTTTATATCCCTGCCCTTTGTTTTTGAAGAATTTCTTTTTCTGCTGCAATTCATGCCAGATCAATAATTAGTGAACATAATATAAGTTATGCTCCCCTCTCCCAAAGTGTTAATGGCTTATAGGTTTTGCTTTTCAGGTGATCGTCTGAGCATCAAAATGCATAGCAAAAGAGTTTAGTACCAATGGCATGATTGCACATCATATTCAAAGTCCTGCAGAAGTCGGAAACGTCAGGAGATTTGACATTGCCACTGAAGTCCCCAGATGTGTCTTTGCATGGATAGATGTGGATGTGTACAACCCAATGAAGAGTAACATATGGGTTTGCTTCCATGCTACAACCCTTTAGCACTGCTCAGGCACTGTATTTAGCTGGAAGCTGAACTAAAACAAGAGGTTAGTGTTAACGTTATCTGTCAATGTCTTTCTGTGCACCTCCCCCCCATCCTCCCTTAATGTTTGCTCCTATGTAAAGCCTATTTAGCAAAGGGTCACAGCAACATTAATTAAGAGTTTTATCTTTGCCTGCTTTATTGCTTCTGGATGAGTTCAGATAGGAAAATTAGTGATTAATGGTTTATTAACTGCCCCAATTTCAATTGTGTATGTGATTCTATTGGTGATTTCCACTATGGGAAGGAAAATGATGAGAGGAAGTCACTATTATCCCCCCCCCATAAATAAATAAATAGATAGATAGATAAGAGGCAATTAAGCAATTATTCATCACTAACACTCCAGCTATGATCAAGAGAAAGATATAAAATGGGCAAGATCTGCAAACAAGATAAAACTTAAATTAAGGGCACAGGAACTCCCAACAACATTTTGCCCAGCCCTGCAGTACAGGCTGGTGATCCAATTGCATTTCATTACCCAAATTTATGCCGTGAATCAGTATTGAGGGGGGGGGACGGATGGACAGGGCAAGACAGGAAAGACTGGAATGCAGTCAGTGATTTAAGAACGATGCTGTCTGAATGTTCCATAACGAGCAAATGAACAAAGGAAGGAGATTCCAGAGAAAGTGGCTAATATGGAAGCAGCTAAGATTAAAAACTGCCCAAGAAAGAAAGAAAAAAGATCCTCTAGGTGTGAGCCAGATTGTAAATCTTTTTAACACAGTGGACGAGTGTCTGCTGACAAAAAAATAAAAAATTCCTGTTGATTTCAGTGGAATTGCAGGTACTTGGGTGAGAAAGAAGATGAAAATTTGGACTCGCTGCTTGTCTGCTATCTGCTTTGTCTCTGCTCACCGCCTTGGGGAGAAGCCACTGAGTTTCTCTTCTGCCCCAGGCCCTGTCTGGAAAGTCACTGGCTTGGTTTCTGTGGCAGAATTGTGACTGGCGAAGGCAGTGCCAGAGGCAAAGGAAGCCCAACTCTGCGTGGTGTGCTCACCATGAAGTTGTTAAAGTAAGTGCCACACTTTTAAGAAGTGCTTTACTTTTAGTGGGGGGGGGGGAAGGTGCCAGTATACCCTTGAATACCCCCAGGAAAAAAAGCACTGAGCCTTGCCATCTTGCTGCTTGCCTGTGTGCCCCTTATGCTGCTGCTGCTGAGATTCCACTTCTGTACAAAAGATTAAATACGAACTGTCCAGAAAGCTTGCAGCCTGACAGACTGAATCACAAACTGTATCAACCTGAAGTATTTGCACGGGAGCTGATTTAGCTGTTGCTTTCCAGTTATTTCAGCTGGTGGTCTGTCCACTGTGCAGAGAGTCTGGACACAGGGAAAGTATTCCTCCACTCCACAAACATCCCTAGTGGCAAGTTAAATAGCTACGATTCTGCTAAGCGTTAGGCTAAGAACTCTTCCCCCCACCCCCCTGCTGCCATGGCCCACATGGAGATGACTTGGTTCACTGAAGGCTAGGAACTGGGAAGATAGGATGCAATTAGCTAGGTCTTTCTAAAGGCCAGTTCTGAAGACTGAACAAACCAACTTGCATTCTGCAGGCCCTTCAAATTAAGCCAACTTCTAATGCACTTTGTTGAGTTTTTATCGGAAAAGATAAAAGTTGTTCACTTGAGGTAACCCACTGAATACTATTTTTATAGTGAAGTCTCCCAATATGTTATTGCTGAGATACCTGGATAAGATAAGTGAGTGGCTCTAGAGGAATGGTATATGGCATTTTCCAGTCAAACGTTTGCTCTCTATGCAATCAACAGAGGGGGATTTTGTCATTTGCTTCTAAAAAGTCAGGATGGCACTTTAGTTTTCCATAAAATGGTGCTGACTTACATCAAGCCGAAAGATCGAGCCTCTATCTCTTTTAAGTGTCAATCATGTAATGATTTATGCTTCCAAGTACACTTGAAACCAAGTCCAAGGAGGGGAACCTGTAAAATATTACAGTATCTTTTGTGTGTAGAAACACTTAGCTGTCCTTTAAGGCTTCTGAGTACCATTTTTTCCAGAAATAAACAGTTAATTCTTTTTTTTTTTTTCTTATACAAGAAGTGGCAAATTAATTCCAAAAATAAAAAGGTCTAAACAAACCTCTAGTATTCAACACTTGCATTTTTTTTTCTTTAAAAAAAAGTTCAACTCAGACTAAACTCTAGCACAGTCATGCAACAGCCCACAGGTCCTATGGATCCAGAGACATCTCGGGAATCCCTAGGTGTTTTTCCATTATATTTTTATTGTCGTCTTGTCTTCTTCTCTTCCTCCTCTTTAATTAAAAACAATTAAAAAGGATAAAAACAAAATTACAAAGCAATCTGAGATGTATATAGGCTTCAAATGATTGTTCTGCTTGATGAGAAATGTTTGAAATTTTATCCATTTGGTATTTTCCACTGGTTGTGTAAAAACCGTATGTGATACTGGTTTGAGCTCTTTCTGTTAACTATACAGTGCCCCACTGGGGCACAAGAATTAGATTGTAACAACATATATATATATACACGCACACACACACATTTTAAATTTTAATTAAAAACTTCATTACATCCCCTCTCCTCCCCTTATTTGCACTCTCAGGGAATGGGTAGGATCAGGCTTGGTATGTTCTGCAATAGCCTCTCTCTCAACTTCAACCTAGACTTGAGATAGCAACTGAGTTTATTGGTACTGGGTGGGTGGGTGAAGGCTGAAAATTTGGTGGGTTTGGTCACCTGAGTTGAATTAGGGCAGTGGCTTCATCACACTGGTAAACTTTTAATGATAATTAAAGGCATTACATTTGTCAGGAACTGAATCGAGGGGATTAAAATTCCTAGGGTCAGAACGGTGAATGGAATGATGTAGAGATAATGAAAAAGAGAGGAGCAAAGGGAAACAGATTTTAGCAAGAGTTCAGGAGCTTGTTTCACATACTGTGGTTTAGGCTGGATATGGGATGTATTGGTTCTTTGTTAGGGTTGGACCAGAAAACTCAGACCCAATGGGCATTTCAGGACCTTCAGAAATGCTTTGCTCAGTGTGCAGGATTATTTTATTATTATTTATTTATTTATTTATTTCATTGAATTGATTAACTGCCCTTTGGTACAAGACATCCAGGCCAGTGTGAAATTAAAATTATGGAGTGCCAACATGCACTTTGAGACCATAGACCCAAACCCTAGTTCAACTAGGGACAGTCTCTCTTGCCTACTCTCACATAGCTTCATTGCTCTTTAGGTGTAGAATGAGAATAATGCAGGGGTGGTGGGATGCAGAATAAACAGTTGCCTCCTAAATTTGCAAACCTAACTAATAAGTAAAATGCTCCTTTCCGATAGCACATAATTCACATTTCAAAGATGGAGCTACTGAATTCCAGGGATGGGAGTTGTTTCAGTTTTAAAATGAGGACACCTTCTGACTCTCAAGGAGTGAGCAGACACAAAACGAAGGTACATACAACATCTCCTCCAAACAGTGCTGGATGTCTTGGGAAACACCATGGCAGCAACACAGGAACCTTTGCCTTGAATTGGACTGGAAATACCTGGTCACAACCTGGGCAACATGGCAGTAACTAACGGCACCTGGGTCTTCTTCTGCAGACCTCTCTGCTCTGACCCAATATGGATACCTGTTCCTTCTGGCCTCCTACACTGCAGTTTGCTAACCAGGAGAAGCCCAAAGCTAACCAGGAACCAGGTGCATAGAGGAAAGAGGAGGCAGACTTTGGGTTGAACCAAGTAGCAGAGAATAGAAAGCAGAACTCAGTTGCAGGAATTACCCCTCTCGTAATGCTAACATCAGATTGGAATGAATGATGCTCTGCTCTCCCCGCTAAGATCATTATTTCCCTGCTCTCTGGAGTAGTCCATAGCCAAAGCAAGCTATGGAGAAGATCACACATAATCTAACGATTCCTGCACAAAAGCAATAATGTAATTATTAAGTAATAATGAAGGCCGTTGGACTAGATGACACTTGGAGTCCCTTCCAACTCTACAATTCCACAAAACTCATTTCTTAACTGCACTCTCTCACCCTCTTCTAATTGGCCTAACCAGAACCAAATCCGCTGGTGAAGCTGCTTATCCCAATAGAGGGGAATTACAAGACTGTTGGGAGTTTGGGTCTTCATTACTACCAAAACAAAAAGAGAAGCTCTGCATTTTGCTGAAGAAATTGGGATGAGGAATAAATAAAATATTCTAAAGTGGTGCGTGTACACACCTACACACCTGAAAAAACTAAAGGGGCACCCCACTTATATTTAATGTTTCTGTCAGTGCTAAACTGCAGCTCCATGTTCCTCATCTCTTAGCATGAAGACTGACCTCATGATTTCTCTGAATAGACCCAGTGTTGCCATGGTCTGCCAGAAATGGAGACAACACAGAAGAAGCATCTACTCATAGGCTTCCTGCATGACCCAGACCCTACCAAGTCTGCCTTTCCTCTACAACGGAAGAGGGAAATACTGAGAGTTGGTTCAAACAGCCACCCCCATTCACTGTGCCTATGCAGTGGCAATACGTGGCAGTACCCCTCTGTCTAAACGCCCCATGAGTGGGAAATGTACAGATGAGGGCAGCTGGGGGCGGGCTACTCTGGGGCGGGTGGGGCAATGAGAACTTTTGAAAGTTGCTAAACTCCGCTTACAAACAGCTAGCCCTGTCTTAATCTATAAAAAGGCAAAGCAGGGACTTTTCTCAAAAGTGTGCCATTTTCCACAAAGTAATTCACCACAAACAGGTGAAAAGATCTCTCTGCAGGGGTTTGCCATGCATGGCCCACCCTCCCTTTTGCAAGTTCTTTGCCCTCTGGGTACCTTAAACCTTCGGCACCCGCGTAAGCAGCATTCAAAACAAGAGCATCAATTTGGCCTGTGCTAAATGTTATTAAAATAAAATATGGCACAGGACAAAGTGTAGGAAGAATCAAAGATAGAGGGGCTCTTCTCTTGGACTCCAAGCACCCCCACTTCTATCCCAAGCAAGCAATGCTCCTTTCTTTTTGTTGAAACAAAAATTTAAAAAATCCTGCAATGTTTTGTTTAAAATTTAGAACCTCCCCACACTCATATATTTTAAATCTTTTTCAAAAACAAAACAAAAACAAAACCTAGCTTGTGGAAATTGTGCAAATATAGCAGTTAACACTAGAGGAAGAAGGCCAGAGAGTATGGAAGAGAAGGTAGAGAGTGGAGCTGTCCAGGCAAGGCGGGAAAGGAAGGAAGTACAGGGACAAGGGGCAAGGAATTATAAGCCTACCAAACCGCCTGCCATGGGGGAAAAAACCATAATGTAAAAAGGTTGTCCTAGACGTTAGTGCAGTCCCCAACCTTCCGTCGCCAAATCTGGAGCAGGCCTTGGTGGGAGCCGGAGAAGGGAGGCAGTGGCAGCTGAGCAGGGATTTGTCTCACTGGCCCTCCTTGCACATCTCCTGGGGTCCTTCAGGTTCTTTGCTACGTCGCTCCTTCCAAAAGGTCTTTAAGATAGGCTCCGTTTGCTTTTGAGAACGGCGGTCTGATGTTGTTGTTGTTTTGCTGTTCGTTGTGTGTAAAGTGTTCTGAGACGCAGCAGATTCTGTGCATTGTTTGGTGCCAGGCCCCAATGTATTCCTTGATTGCTTTCTTGCTGCCGCGACTCACTTGCCGCGCTCTCTCTCCCTTAAGAGTCCACTGCCAGGGAAGTCTGCAGCACCATCTCGACCTTTTCAGCTACTTAGGGCCATTGTGTCAATTGCCTGCTCCAACTTACTCCGCAGCCGTTGCCTTCGGGCCTGTTCGTCCTTCTCTAAAGCAGCTAAAATCTGGCAAGGGGAAAGACGTGTAGATGAAATAATTAGTAAAGGAAGACTCTGGAGTAATTTGAAACATGCTTCACACCAGTGGTAGTCTAGAAAGAAAAGCCAGGAGCGATTCCCCACCAAACACTCCAAACCCCCTCTTTTAAGGATGAAGAAATATGGGACGGCCATTCTCTTGACCGTCACAACTAGGAAAGGCTGCTAAAAATGGCAGCAACTCAACAGTGCATCAGCAAGTGTGTTGTCCCATTCTAGTGGCTGAGCAAGGAGGAGCAATTGCCATCCTGCCAGGGTTGCAGTCTGCCACACACTATCCCCAATCACCCTGCATCAGGGTTACAGCTGTCTAGCTTGGCTAGTGAGCTGAAGTGGCTGTCCTTTTCCTCCCGCTCCCATGTGAGTATGTGAGAAAAAGACAAAAGAGTCAGAGAGCACATTGAAAGCAATGCTTAATTGCCCATCTATCTTCCTGCCTGTATTTTGCAGGAAGCATGTATGGAGTCTGACGAGCAGCAGATCTGCAAAAATACTTTTGTAGATTTGCTAGGACTCCTCACACACATGACGTCCGGCAACCAGAGCAAGGGATATTGACAGGTGGCCCAATACTTCCCCTGCAGAAACCTGGTAGTCCAGTAATATCTGGAGGGCCACAGGTTTGCTCAGCCCTTCTTAATTCAGAGAATAGAACTCTCCCGCAATGGCATGATCTGGGACTTTTCTGATGGTCCTGGGGACAAGGAAACACTGAGGACATTTATGAAATTGGCATCTTTAATTATGGAATAATTAAACCTAGTCCACTTTCTAGTTCTGTTCTCACAATCAGATGAGAATCAGTAGATCACTCTTTGGATGTAATCCAGGAAATCTTGAAAAACTCTGCATCTTCAGGCACTCAAGACTATATGAACTGAGAGATCATCAGGGATGTTGTGAACAGGGCTTTGGATTCTGAGGGGGGGAGGATGGGATTTGGCAGGAAAGCAGCTAGTGAAAGGGGCTGAGATAGTGAGGGAATGGTGGGATTTTTCTACAAAAAGGAGAGAGAGGTGCCCATCATCAGGAGTCCATTGAACCAAGTCCCACGCCCTTTAAATTGCGCTGCCAGATAAAGAACAGATGATTAAAATGCAAACCCATCAGAAATCCCATTATAGTGGCTAAGTTTGTTGTGAGTGCAAGGTGGATTTCTCTTTCCAATTAAATGTCAAAGCATCCATCAAAGGGGACTTGATTAACCATTTCATTGGCTGCATAATTGGAA